ATAAAATAATCAAAATTAAATATAATAAAATAAATCTTTTATTATGCATACTAAAATAATTTTTTATGTTTTATTACGTAGATTGGAAATAATAAAAAAATCAAAATAAAACAATAAAATAATTATTTTATTATACATACTAAAATAATTATTTTATTGCTTTATTTTTATTACGTAGAATGGAAATAATACAAAAATCTAAATAAAACATAATAAATAATAATTTTATTATACATACTAACATAATTATTTTATTACGTTTCATTTTTATTACGTAGAATGGAAAGAATAAAAAAAATCAATAAGCAAATAAGTATTTTGTTTTAGTATACGTACTAGAAATATTATTTTATTATGTTTTATTTTTATTACGTAGAATGGAAATAAAAAAAATATCAAAGAAAACATAACAAAATTATTAATTTACTATTTTATTATAAAAATAAAAAGATATAACAAAATATTTATTATAATATTATTTTAGTATACGTAATAAATTAATTCTTTTATTATGTTTTATAATAAAATTATAACATAATAAAATAATTATTTATTATGTTTTATTTTATTACGTAGAATGGAAATAATACAAAAATCAAAATAAAACTAAATAAATCAAAATAAACATAGTAAATAATTATTTATTATACATAATAAAATAATTATTTTATTACGTTTTATAATAAAAATAAAACGTAATAAAATGAACACAGAGCTCGCTAACACACACAACTGGCACACTAGTAACTACACTAGGACCCTCGAGATGCTACCAAGAGTTTAGTGTCGTTGGTAGCGTGAGCACGCCACTAAACGCACTGAACTCTCGATGTTAAGTTCGATTCCCGCATCCTCCACGAGGAATATTTTTCTTAAATAAAATTTTAAATGTAACGCGCCAGCGTTATTGTTGGTGACATGTTCACATTGGTGAACCAGCTTGACCTCTCGTCGCCCTCGATTTTGCTGTTTTGAAGCCCCAGTTAAGGCGAAAGAGATGTGACGAGAAATAAACATTCCAAAAATATACATACAAAAATAATTATTTATTATGTTTTATTTTTATTACGTAGAATGGAAATAATAAAAAAATCATAATAAAACATAATAAAATAATTATTTAACATAATAAAATAATTATTTTATTATGTTTTATTACGTAGGTTGGAAATAATAAAAAAAATCTAAATAAAACATTATAAAATAATAATTTTATTATACATACTAGCAAAATGATTTTATTATATTTCATTTTTATTACGTAGAATGGAAATAATAAAAAAAAAATCAAAATAAAGCATAATAAAGTATTTTTTTTATTATACGTACTAAAATAATTATTTTATTATGTTTATTTTTATTACGTAGAATGGAAATAATAAAATAATCAAAAGAAAACATAACAAAATAATTAATTTACTATTTTTATTATAATAAAAATAAAATATAATAAAAAAAATATTTTATTATAATAATTATTGTATTATACGTAATAAATTAATTCTTTATTATGTTTTATAATAACATTAAAACATAATAAAATAATTATTTTATTATGTTTTATTTTTATTACGTAGAATGGAATAATACAAAATAAAACAAAATAAATCAAAATAAAACATAATAAAATTATTATTTTTAAAAAAATAATTAGTTATTTTATAATTAAATATTAATTTTTTATACATTTTAATTATTTTATTATGTTTAATAATAAAAATAAAACGTAATACAATGAACACAGAGCTCGCTAACACACACAACTGGCACACTAGTAACTTACACTAGGACTCTCACGATGCTACCAAGAGTTTAGTGTCGTTGGTAGCGTGAGCACGCCACTAAACGCACTAAACTCTTCGATGTTAAGTTCGATTCCCGCATCCTCCACGAGGAATCTTTTTTTTAAATCAAATTTTAAATGTAACGCGCCAGCGTTATTGTTGGTGACATGTTCACATTGGTGAACCAGCTTGACGCCTCGTCGCCCTCGATTTTTGATGCGGATTTGCAGTTTACTAAACCCGCATCTTAGTTGATGTAAAAGTGCGGCGCGAGTTGCTCGCTGCGCTGAAGACTCCCGCCTCTGGGCGGCAGGCGGCGCTCGTGAGAACGCGAGAGGCGCCAGCTGAGAGCTGCACCCCGAGGAAGCCTCTTGGCGGGTTGTTGTTGTTGTCGCTTTGAAACACGTTCATCACCTTCAGCGCAACGGGGTCTCTGCTCGTGAATGTAAAAACGGAGTTTCCTTTTTGAAAACTATTGTTTGCGTGGAGGATGCGGGGATCGAACCCGCGACCTCCCGCGCGCTGAACGAGCAGCGCCACCATCTCAGCTGCTGCCCCAAACACGAGGAGTGGAGCGAGATTTCGGTAAAATCACGTTGAAAAAAAATAGATTTGATGATAAAAAATTTATTAAACTCTTTAATTCCTGCAGTAATCAGCTCGGATGGTAGAGCGCTCGCTTATTGAACAAAAAAAAATATTTATAAAAAATATTTATATCGAGCCTGTCTCTAAGATGCGGGTTCTTACTTTGATGCAAAGTCGTCACAGATGATGATGATGATCGCCGCGATGATGTCACAATGTCGTACGGAACGGGGCCCAAGCGAATCGTATCGTCCGTTTGGCGATATTTGTACTTTTCATGCTCATTCTGTTACACAGTTTATTTTAAAACGAAACGTTATCAATCTACAGACTCGCTATTCCTGTAACGCGTCACTCTCAGCCTGTGGGGGGGGAGGGGGGTAGTGGAGGGATGGGGGGGGGGGTAGATGGGGGGGTCAGGTGATGGGGGGGAGGGCCAGTCACGTGATGGGGGGAGGGGCAGTCACGTGGCTACGTGTGGGGGGGGGGGGGGGAGTTTGTTGGTGTGAGGGCGAGTGGAGGGAGCGGATTGAGGTGCGGAGCGAGAGAGACACAGAGAGAAGGCGAGTGGTGGTGATGGTGGTGGTGATGGTGGTGATGGTGGTGGTGATGGTGGTGGTGATGGTGGTGGTGATGGTGGTGATGGTGGTGATGATGGTGATGATGATGGTGGTGGTGATGATGGTGATGATGGTGGTGATGGTGGTGATGATGGTGGTGATGGTGGTGATGATGGTGATGATGGTGGTGGTGATGGTGGTGATGGTGGTGATGGTGGTGATGGTGGTGGTGATGGTGGTGATGGTGGTGATGGTGGTGGTGATGGTGGTGATGGTGGTGATGATGGTGGTGATGGTGGTGATGATGGTGGTGATGGTGGTGATGGTGGTGATGATGGTGGTGATGGTGGTGATGGTGGTGGTGATGGTGGTGATGGTGGTGATGATGGTGGTGATGGTGGTGGTGATGGTGGTGATGGTGGTGATGGTGGTGATGGTGGTGGTGGTGATGGTGGTGATGGTGGTGGTGGTGATGGTGGTGGTGATGGTGGTGGTGATGGTGGTGATGATGGTGATGATGGTGGTGATGGTGGTGATGGTGGTGATGATGGTGGTGATGGTGGTGATGGTGGTGTGATGGTGGTGATGGTGGTGATGATGGTGGTGATGGTGGTGGTGATGGTGGTGATGGTGGTGATGGTGGTGATGGTGGTGGTGGTGATGGTGGTGATGGTGGTGGTGGTGATGGTGGTGGTGATGGTGGTGGTGATGGTGGTGATGATGGTGATGATGGTGGTGATGGTGGTGATGATGGTGGTGATGGTGGTGATGATGGTGATGATGGTGGTGATGGTGGTGATGATGGTGGTGATGGTGGTGATGATGGTGATGATGGTGGTGATGGTGGTGATGATGGTGATGATGGTGGTGGTGGTGGTGGTGATGATGGTGATGATGGTGATGATGATGGTGGTGGTGATGGTGGTGTTGTTGATGTTGTTGATGATGTCGTTAATGTTGTTGATGTTGTTGATGATGTTGATGATGTTGTTGTTGGTGGTGATGATGGTGGTGATGATGGTGGTGATGATGGTGGTGATGGTGATGTTGATGATGTTGATGGTGATGATGTTGTTGATGATGATGATGTTGATGATGATGTTGTTGATGATGATAATGTTGATGATGATAATGTTGTTGATGATGATGTTGTTGATGATGTAGTTAATGTTGTTGATGATGTTGTTGTTGATGTTGTTGTTGGTGGTGATCACCCACGATGCGCCCCGCGTGTTCACGCCGTTTGAACTGAGCTGCTCACCGAGTCGCGTCGTGCAAAGGGCGCCAAATTGTGGGGGAGGGGATTTTTTTCCCTCTTCCTGTCAACGGGGGTATTATTTATTTATTTGTTAATTTATTTTTTTGTATTTTATTATATTTTACTAGCATAAGTACCCGGCGTTGCCCGGGTGAAAAATATATTTCTTAATAACCTTACATATATACACAGATGGGCTGCTACCCCCCCCCGCGCTACAATAATACTGTCTAATCGCTATAATTTTATTATCTACCGACCCTATAATAGTAATTGCACACATTGGGGTGAGGGGGGAGTGAAGAGGACGTGAAACTTTGATGAATTTACCTCAGAGTCGCGTGTTAATGCGCATATTTTTAACGGGAATTAAAAATGGCGTCCACCCCGCGGCGAATGCGTCGCTACCCGTTGCCAGGGGCAACCGTCGTGGAAAACCAAACGGACCAATCGCGTCTCGCAAATCCCTCACATTTCGGCCAATGAAACTGCGTATGGTCCGGCGACACACACACAGACACACACACAGACACACACAGACACACACACAGACACACACACAGACAGACAGATTTGCGATTTTATATATATAGATTTATTTTCTTCTTCTTGGTTCTTTCGGTAAAGTCACGTAGAAGGTAAATAATAAAATAATAAAATGGGTGCGTGGGGGGGGGGGTAGTGGGGGGGTGATATTGGGTGGTGATGATGAAGGTTGATCCATAGACAGACTCACAACACAGAGACCCATAGACTACAATGTTATCTCAATAGGAATCGATTCAAACCGCTCACCGTTTCTATCACAATCGATTCGCATGGTATCCCAATAGGAATCGATTCTATCCGCTCTAATCACTAGCTACATCGATTCCTACGTTATCCTAATGTGAATCCATTTCATTAGAACAAATCACCATAATCGATTCCCACGTAATCGAAAATGTATTCGATTCCATCTTGCACTCACCACCACTGTCAATTCCAATGCAGTCCCACTAGGGATCGATTCCATCGGCTCCATTTTTGACCACAATCGATTCACTTGTTATCCCAATAGGAATCGATCCGAGTTTATTATTTGACCTTGAATCGATTTTCTCTGCACGTGACTTCGGCTGTCGCGTGGTGTGAGTGGGGAGTGGTGGTCCAGTGGTTAGCGCACTGTGTGTGAATGAGTGGTGGTGCAGTGGTTAGCGCACCGTGTGTGAGTGAGTGGTGGTGCAGTGGTTAGCGCACTGTGTGTGTGTGGGGGAGATCCGGGCCAGGGCCCCGTGGTGTCGACGTTTCTCTATTTCCTCCTTCACGACGTTTGAATGACAACAACAAACAACGTGTCACTGTTGTCGTCGTCATCACCAGCGTCTCGCGTGCCTCTCTCACAGACTCCCCCGGCGATGTCGGCCTGCTCTTGGGCCGAAGCCTCGGGCTCGCCTAGCGGGGCTGCCGGGAGAGGCGCGCCTCGAGGCGGCCAGCGCAGTAGGCCGCAGGCGCCCTCCCGCCGCGGGCTCGTCGAGGAGAGCGACTGGGCGTGGTGGGTTCAGTGCGCGGCTGTTGGTCCCCACGTGACCACGCCGCTCGCCGCCGCCGCCGCGTGTTGGGGACCACTTAGTCGGGGGGGGGGCTGGTTCAGGTTTCACTGATTTAAGTGTAGTGTGTAGTGTAGTGTGTAGTGCAGTGTGTAGTAGTGTATAGTGTAGTGTATAGTAGTGTGTAGTGTAGTGTATAGTGTAGTGTGTAGTGCAGTGTGTAGTAGTGTATAGTGTAGTGTATAGTAGTGTAATGTATAGTGTAGTGTGTAGTAGTGTGTAGTGTAGTGTATAGTGTAGTGTATAGTGTAGTGTATAGTAGTGTAGTGTATAGTAGTGTAGTGTGTAGTGTAGTATAATAGTATAGTGCTAGTGTATAGAGTAGTGTATAGTGTAGTGTGTAGTGTATATAGTAGTGTATAGTGTAGTGTATAGTAGTGTATAGTGTAGTGTATAGTGTAGTATATAGTAGTGTAGTGTGTAGTAGTGTATAGTGTAGTGTAGTATAATAGTACAGCACTAGTGTATAGTGTAGTGTATAGTGTGTAGTGTAGTGTATAGTATAGTGTATAGTAGTGTAGTGTATAGTGTAGTGTATAGTATAGTGTATAGTAGTGTAGTGTATAGTGTAGTATACTTGTACAGCACTAGTGTATAGTGTAGTGTATAGTATAGTGTATAGTAGTATAGTGTATAGTGTAGTATACTAGTACAGCACTAGTGTATAGTGTAGTGTATAGTGTAGTGTCGTGTATAGTAGTGTAGTGTATAGTGTACTAGTTCAGCACTAACCGGTGTGTTGGAGAGCCAAGCCACAACATTTACAATCGGAGTACGACGTTTCTCCAGTAGTTGCAACTGGCTTCATCAGGCGACAAGCCGGATTTGTGTGGGGAAATGCTGTTTCGTTTGTGTTAAATTTACCAAATCCGTTTTAATAATGATTTTGCGTGTGCCAGGAAATGAGAGTACCTGAAAAAAAAGCTAAGGTTTTTTAAAATCCTTTATATTAAGTTCACTTGCTTGCGCGCTTACGACCGTGCAAATCTTTCGGTCGTTTTTTAACCCACTTCCCGTGATCTAATCGAGCTGACATTTTGCACACAGACTCGTTGTGCGTGACAATTTATTTTCGTGAAAAAATTTTTGCAAAATTTTACACTTTTTAGGTAATTTTTTTAAATATTAAATTACCAATTGCTTAATGGTGGCAGGCAATCATCTGACCCATAGGTGGCAGCCATCTCAAGCCAGAGGACGAGAGGACGCTAGCCGCCCGTTTCAAAGACCAATGTGGGCTGGGTTGTGGCGCATTGAACACGCATATAAAGGATTTATAGTGAAAAACTTAGTTTTTACGGGTTAATTTTTTTAAATTCCCATTGTGATAAACACGAAATAGCCTGTGAAGTTAGGCCTAACCTCCTCCCCCCTCCCTACAATCGCTGTTGGCCCACACGCACACACACACTGCAGTGAGCAGGCAAGTGATTGCCAGAGGTGACTCGCGTATGTGACTTACTAATGCGTCCGGACACAGACGAGAGACGCACACATGCAGACTAAACGCGGCCACGCACAGCCACAAAGACCACACACACACCATGCAGATTACGTGCAGACACGCAGAGATTACACGGATGCGTAAAAACAAGATACAAAATACGTACTCGCAGACTAAATTAGACACGCACACCCACACACAAATACATGTCCATACAATTTGTATGTGCACATGTGTTTGAAATAGTGTAGTGTATAGTGTAGTGTATAGTGTAGTGTATAGTGTAGTGTATAGTGTAGTATACTAGTACAGCACTAGTGTATAGTGTAGTGTATAGTGTAGTGTAGTGTATAGTAGTGTATAGTGTAGTGTATAGTGTAGTATACTAGTACAGCACTAGTGTATAGTGTAGTGTATAGTAGTGTAGTGTATAGTGTAGTGTGTAGTGTATAGTATAGTATGCTAGTACAGCACTAGTGTATAGTGTAGTGTATAGTAGTGTATAGTGTAGTGTATAGTATAGTATACTAGTACAGCACTAGTGTATAGTGTAGTGTATAGTGTAGTGTATAGTAGTGTATAGTAGTGTATAGTGTAGTGGGTGGGGAGCGGTGGCGCAGCTGTTAGCGCTACGCTGCGCTACGAACCTGGCGACCCGAGTTCAATTCCCCGCTTGCGGTCAACACCAGTGACGATTATTTGAACCAATCCTGGGCCTCCCCTAGGTCGACTCGGCCTTAAATGAGCACCTGGTGCAGTGTGTAAACATCGCCACTGGTGTTGGCCACCCACCCCCTCGTGTGCCGTGCCGGCCTTCATAGGTGCTCGCAAACAGCACTTGCCCCAACAGTCTGTACTGGCTATACGGGGGATATTTGTCTTTGTGTATGTGCACACACACAAAACAAGATACGTCTCCCACCATAGCCCTCTTTAGTTTGTTGGGGAAAGTGCTGTTTGGGAACATCTATGAAGACTGGTTGGGCTGTAAGATTTCTATGGATTGGATCACCTGAATGAGAAGAGTAGTGCATTGATATTGAGATGTGGTTCCATTATGTTTCATACTAATCCAAACATATCTTTTCTTAAAGCGTTATGGGTGAAGGCAGGGAATTACTTTAAATGATTGGCAGCGACTACATGTAATGATTGATGTTGGCAAACGTGGCGTCAGTTATATCAACAAATGTACATCAGCATTGGGAGCTGAAATTACCATGACATTGTGATGCAAATGTAATGGGTTCCGGAGACACTTGTAGAGGTAACTTCTTTATTACAATCCAATACTCCAACAGTCCTGATACTCTTGTTACAGCCTAGGTACACAGCCTAGGTACACAGCCTAGATACACAGCCTAGGTACACAGCCTAGATACACTACTCTGGCTACGTTCTGGAACTCGCCCTCACAGTTCCAGAGTCCCACCACTGGCCCTCACAGCGTCCCAGGGTCCTAAGCTGGCTGGCGGGTCTTGAGCTACAACTGGCCCCAATCGTCCAGGGAGCTGCCCTTTTGTGCCTCGTCCCCAACGAGGGGTGGGGTTGTGTGCGCCCCCAGGTATCCCACAGAGCACACAGCCCCCCTGTTGGTGGCGCCAAGGGGCTTAAGCGTCTGGGGTGCCTGGGATCCTAGTGCCTGGCGCCAAGGGGCTTAAGTGTCTGGGGTGCCTGGGATCCTAGCGCCTGGCGCCAAGGGGCTTAACTGTCTGGGGTGCCTGGGATCCTAGTGCCTGGCGCCAAGGGGCTTAAGTGTCTGGGGTGCCTGGGATCCTAGCGTCTGGCGCCAAGGGGCTTAAGCGTCTGGGGTGCCTGGGATCCTAGTGCCTGGTGCCAAGGGGCTTAACTGTCTGGGGTGCCTGGGATCCTAGTGCCTGGCGCCAAGGGGCTTAAGTGTCTGGGGTGCCTGGGATCCTAGCGTCTGGCGCCAAGGGGCTTAAGTGTCTGGGGTGCCTGGGATCCTAGTGCCTGGTGCCAAGGGGCTTAACTGTCTGGGGTGCCTGGGATCCTAGTGCCTGGCGCCAAGGGGCTTAAGTGTCTGGGGTGCCTGGGATCCTAGCGTCTGGCGCCAAGGGGCTTAAGTGTCTGGGGTGCCTGGGATCCTAGCGCCTGGTGCCAAGGGGCTTAAGTGTCTGGGGTGCCTGGGATCCTAGTGCCTGGCGCCAAGGGGCTTATCTGCCTAGGGTCCCAGAGCCCCCGGCAGCCCTTCCCTCTTATGTCACGACACAAGGGCTGTGTTGGAAACTCTTCCTTCGTTGCCAATGTCTGCTCGTCTCCCTTGTGCTGTTGCATGTTCAGCCCCATCTGTTTGGACACGATAGAAGAGCCGTACATGACCAAGTGTGGCCACAGCTTCTGGTATGTGCGTGTCTGCTCGGAGGAGAAGTGCTTCTGTTCCATCTTGCAAAACACTCGCAGACCAAGTTCCTCGCAATCCAAGGTTTTACTGTACTTTGTTGTTGCATTCCATTTCTTTCCACCGTCCGGCGAATGCGCGACAATATTCGGTGATTGGTAAATTTTCCAATGATGCTGATAACGGCGATTGCCAATTTACTCGCCGTTGCATTTTGTCTGCGTTTCAGTTGCAAATGCATCCGTCGGAGTCTGGAGGAGAACAATAGCTGCCCAAAGTGCAGTTCCGCCATTAAGAATTCAAAGCAGATATATCCAAACTTCCTCTGTGAGTTGTTTTTTACTTATTTTCCATCCACCTGCATTTTTCGCAAATTTTGTTTCACGGCAATGCAACACAGGCCTTCAACGATTGATGCTCTGCAAACCTCCTGGCTACCATCAAAGGTTTGTTCAAGTTCAAGTTTCATGTATTAGGTGTAGCCATGTGAGCCATTCGGCTCTTGAATCGGGTGCAACTGCAACAAACAAAAAACAAAAACATGAACAAGAAAACATCTTAAAGTGAATATGTGACTGAGTACAAACAGAAAATCCAAGAAAAGACAGCAAAATATTGCAGAAAAAACACCGTACACCAACGCTGTGTGCAAAAATCCCAGTGGGATGCAAGTCAAACAACAACAACAACAACCACAAGACAGCTTAGATTAAGGCCATCAGTCTAACTCTGTACTACAACAACACAAACATGGCTAAACCAATACACTTTTCGAAATCACCAAAATAAAGCCATGAAAGCAATGAAAAAGCAATCATAGGAACTGTGACGGAATTTTACACGAAGCCATCCAGATATACAAACACAGACGTAACTTCAACTAATAAAAGTAAAATAAAAATAAAATAAAAATCTTTTATTTTTATTTCACTTTTATTAATTTTAATTTTTTACCTACGTGACGTTACCGAAAAAAACCTAAGAATATGAATCCTTGCAGTCACGAAAGCTTCAAATCTAGAATAACTTCAACTGTGATGATGGGTACAAACTGAGTAATAATGGGAAAGATGTTATTAACCATGCAAAAAAGATTTAACGACACATATTTGGACCATCTTATTTAACAGGTACTATTCTACTTTACCGAGCGTTGACATCCCCAGCGTTTAACAGTACTCTCCTTTTTAAATCCTTTATATTAAGTTCGCTTGCTTGCTTGCTTGCGCGCTTACGACCGTGCAAATCTTTCGGTCGTTTTTTATTTAAATCCTTTATATTAAGTTTGCTTGCTTGCTTGCGCGCTTACGACCGTGCAAATCTTTCGGTCGTTTTTTAACCCACTTCCCGTGATCCAATCGAGCTGACATTTTGCACACAGACTCGTTGTGCGTGACAATTTTTTTTAGTGAAAATTTTTTTCCATAACTTTACACTTTTTAGGAAAAAATTAATTATATTGAATTACCAATTGCTTAATGGTGGCAGGCAATCATCTGACCCATAGGTGGCAGCCATCTCAAGCCAGAGGACGAGAGGACTCTAGCCGCCACGCATATAAAGGATTTATAGTGAAAAACTTTGTTTTTACGGGTTAATTTTTTACCTACCTGACTTTACCTAAATAACCTAAGAGTGATGCTCGCGTTGTTTAATATTTAACAGCTTTTTCCCCACACGCGTCTTTTCGCAGTGAACGAGCTGGTCCTGAAGCAGCGTCAGCGGCTAGAGAATCGAATCGAGATGGAACAACCGGTGATTGGAGATGTGCAGGGAAAAGCGGTGAGTTGGCGTTGTTTGTGACGGCGGCGTCAGGAGCAGTGCGGTGCCGCAGAGCTCGCTTGTCGAGAGGGTTTTCCCCCTTTTCTCTGGCAACAAAACTGATGAACACCATATGAGACTGGGCTCTAAAGAAAGCTGTCTCTGGTGTGGACCAATCAGTTTCAAGGACAACACATAAATGATCAGAGTATTGTTTTTTTTTGCATTTGACTGCAAGTATTGTGGTTAATGTAAACATGATTCAATCTTAATTTTGGAGCTTTCGTGACTGCAGGAATTATTCTTTGGTTCTTTCGGTTAAGTCACGTCTAAAGATAAAATAGCCAATTAAATAATAGCATATTACGACGTTTCGATTGCAACACAAGCAATCGTCATCAGGCATAAAAGAAATAGCAACAAAAATCTAACTAGAAAACTATAGACAGACACACAAGCAGACAGACATCTCTCTCTGTGTGTCTTTGTGGTATTTCTTGTGATCTCTCATTTACTTGATACAGCTGTTGTGGCTGTGACGGTTCCACCTGAAGACGGAGGCTTGTGTTGCTTCCGAAACGTCGTGATTTTTTATTTTATTTTGCTTTATTTTACTTTTATTAATTTAATTTTTTTACCTACGTGACTTTACCGAAAAAACCTAAGAATATAGTATTCATCCAAGCTACCAAGATCTGGACCAGTTTTTACCTGCCGGGTCTTAGTCATCAGTCAGTCTTGTTCAATAAACCCCGCTGGGCTAAGCGCTGACGTCAGTTGTTTGCGATCAGCACGGCACTCCCGCAAGCCTGCAGGCCTAACTGGGGGATCTCTGTTTGTGTGTCCGTGCGATCTGCAAGACTCCACCTTTGCTCGCACCGGTGACAGTGGCCAAGTCGCCTTCCAAGGGAGGCATCCTCAAGCCCCTTGCCACGGGGGAGGTCGTGAAGAAAAAGCGAAAAGTTTTGCATCTGTCGGACTCCGAGGGCTCGGACAGCATGGATTTCATGGTGAGTAATGTGACTGCTTTGATTGAAATTCTTTGGACGATGCAATGGGACTCGATCCACTCTCGTAGGGACAAAGCGGCTCGCTTGAGCGCTAGGGATGATTGGGTCATGTGTGGATGTTCACGCTGGATAGAAGCATTCTCCTAATGTGCGGTGCGCTGTGAAACTCAGAGCTCGACCAACTGGAGGGAGAGTTTTTCCCAGATAATTAAATAATTGCTGTAATCTAATAAACTATGTCATTGTAATCTAAGCCATTCATTTGACAATAACATTAAACAAAAAATGTACAATTTAAAAACTAAAATCACTTCTGCAGTTTAATGCGAGTCTCCATCACCATCAATCAGAATCAAAGGGCCACTGGATGTGGGAAGGTGGAATAGACATCTTGACGAGCTTGGAGCATTTGTTCAATGAACGTAGGATGAATGTGCCAGAGACGGAGAGTGCTCACAAAGCATGCCCGTGACCAAGGGACGGGTTTCTGAATTCCCAAAATAAAAAAAATGCAAATGTAGATTTGCTCGTACAATGCACTCGTATTCCAGCAAGGCCGAATAAATGTTTTAAATTGCAGGATCTTTGCGTGATTTTGTGTTCATTGATATTCACGTTTATACGTTAGGTCGACGAAGAGCTGCTAGCAAGTGTGTCGGGCGTGATGCCGTCCAAGCGAACTGAACAGGCCAGGGCAGCAGGCAAGATGAGATCTGCCGTCGTTGTCACGAGTGTCAAGACGGTGAGTGCACCAGACTCGCAGTGCCGTTTGATCTCCCGGCGCGGCAGGTTAAACAATGCTGATGATGATGATGATGTCACACACTTTTTTCTCTTACTCCAAAATATCATTGTTGCTCTTCAACAATCTTTCACGTGGTGAGCCGCTTCGTAGAGCTGCTCGCGCTTGTGGCCGGGACGCTTCTGTGAGAGAAGCTGATGGTTTAGTGGGCCTTGCCTGGTAAGATAAACATCAACTTCAAGGAAGGTGCATACATTATCAGAGTTGTGTTTTTTGTTTGCATTCCGACTGCAGGTATTGTGGTCAATGCAAACATGGCTCCTCGTAAAAAAAGGTGTCAGTTTTGTTGCCAGATAAAAGGGTAAAAAATACAATTAACAAGAAAAAAATGGTTTAGGTTTTTTTTGTTTATTTAAAAAAAAAAACTTTTTACCTTCCCTACACTTTGCGCTCCTATTGTGTTTTTGTATTGTTTGTTGTTGTGAAATGTGAACGACCTCACCTGGCATACAGGAGGTCTCCCCGTGGTCGCGTGGCTTTTTTTCCAGGTTCTCCGATTTTCCCCTCCACATTTACAAACACGCTCTCAGAGTGTTTGGCTACTATACATGTCCACATGATAGGCTACTTGGTTGAGCTGTCATTTGTGGCCAGTACACTTCTGAACAAGAGCTATACAGCTCAGTGGGCCTCACCTGGTAAAATAAAAATACAAAGTGAATAGTACTGGACATCTGTGAAAAACAGCTTCATATCTCATCGCATTCCTCCAGTATCAATACATCTTCTCATTCTCTATAAATGGGCGCACCGTTTCATTGCTCGCCTGCTTGTGTGTGCTGGGGTCAAGTTGCGGGTGTATTCCCACCATCCTCCAAGACGCCGTGTACAGCGGTCACCCTCTGTAGAACTCCCACCAGAGCTCCTTCTGCCTGCAGTGACGTGACTTCTTCTCTTTTCCACGTGTCTCGCTGCATTTCTTCTGGCGGTTGCTCTCATTCCCAGTCCACGTGTAGCGGCATCAATGCAGTCACCTGATTGGTCACCCCACCCGTTCAAGCCAACTGTTTTGACCAATCTGCAATGGGCCCACTGATGAACGTAGATCTCGGACACGACGCGGGTTGAGTCGGTGGGAGACTGCCGGGGACTGCCAGGCTTGGCCTACGAGGTGGTCAGGAGATGGCAGTGTAGCCATGGATTCTTGAATCTATCAGTGTGGAGCTTTTGAGTGCTCCCCCCCCCCCCCTCTTATGTAAATGCTGTTTAATGTTTACAATAATATTGTGTTCGTGTCAGATGTTTTGAGCCCTCGTTTTCACGTTGACATTCTTGTTTTTGTGGCATTGAGACTTCATCGGCCACAATCATTCCACTTCCGGACGAAGACCTCCCCGCGCAATTGCCATCTCTCACGATCCTGCAGATATAATGATCCACACTCAGCGCCTACGCACGCCGCTCAATTCATCGCTCCATCTCCTCGCTTGGAGCCGTCTCAGTCGAGTATCTCCCGTTGGATGCCATTTCGGTCCATTTTTTCTTGACCGTCATCCATCATCCCTCTCTCGGCGCCCATCCAGCCCAAGCTGCCGGCTTCTCTCAACAGTGTGAACGATGTCATGGAGCTGTGTATATTATATTGGTAGGAACGAAGTGGACCAGACCACCAATATATTAATGTGTCCGTCCATCCGTCCGACTGTCCGTCCGTCCGTCCGTGTATCAACATCGCCCCCTACTGCAAACACTTGGCATGACCCTGTCCGACAAGATGGCCGCCCGCTCCCCTTGCGATCTGTGAATTAAACAAGATGGCCGTCGCTTCCGGCGCATCACGGCAAAACTTTAAACTTCGCTTCAAAATTACTTTACTGAAACGCAGCACGTTTTTAAAAATAATTATTTTACTGAAACGCAGCACGTTTTTTTTAACACAGAGACAAGAAACATTTATTAACACAGAGACGAGATACATTTAATCGCCTTATTTGTGCACGAAAAGCACGGCGCGAGGCCTAGTGCGGCAGGCTTCGCGAGGCCTAGTGCAGAAGGTGGTGGTGGGGGGTGGTGGTGGGGGGTGGTGGTGGGGGGTGGTGAGGGCTGGTGGGAGGGGTGGTGTTGGGGGGTCTTTAAATCTCACAGCGTTTCTTGTCAAAACAAACACTTTTAATTAACGTTACACTAGAATACAGTAATTTTTTCTTTAACTCCTCTATACCCGGTCGATATCCCTGTACCGGCACTAAGTATTATTCCTACCAGCCCACACCGCAGGGTCCTGTTCTAACACTCGTGTTGTCCGTACGTACGTGTGTTGAACTTCGTTCGCAACACCGTGCGTAGCCATGAACCCTGTGTACATGATCTGACCCTCGTGTCCGTACGTACGTGTGTGTGTATGTGTGTGTGTGTGTACGTGTCCGTACGTGTGTGTGTGTACGTGTGTGTGTACGTGTGTGTGTGTACGTGTGTGTACGTGTGTACGTGTGTGTGTGTACGTGTGTGTGTGTGCGTGTGTACGTGTGTGTACGTGTGTGTGTGTGTACGTGTGTGTGCGTGTGTATGTGTGTACGTGTGTGTGTGTGTACGTGTGTACGTGTGTGTGTGTTGAACTTCGTTTGCACCACCGTGCGTAGCCAACCGTGCTAATTGGAGGTGCGGGCGGATGGACAACAAACACGTTCCTTTCACTGTCTCTCAGTGTCATTCCCAGCGAGCGTCACATTAAACTTGGACTGTCTGGCACGCAACATATCGGTAGAACATTAAACTTGGACTATCTGGCATGCGACATTTCTTTGCAGCGTCCGAGATGTAGCAGCCAACCTCAAGTCGGCTACCTTAGCACGAGTTTGAATTTCCTTCAGATTCAATTTGAAACTTTACCTGTCACACGCAGCCCACGGGGAATCCGCGCGCGTTATTTCGAGGACACGCCACGGCAAGGTGGAGGACGTATCCACCGCAGGAGCCGTACACCTCGTCACGAGAGACGAACACCAAGCCACGCTCACTTGAGCAGGAGGACCCCTTTAGACTTGTGACGATGCCCAATTGTCTTCGATGTGTTCATTTGTTACAGGCGATTGAGATCTCAAGAAAAACCACGTTGACAGCAAAGATCAAACAAGGGAAGATGGTCTCTGCATCACCTTCCATCAAGCTTCCTGCAAAACGGCGACACTCACCCTTTGACTGGTTTGAGGGTCCAGATGTCGACACCACTTCTGAATCGGAGGATTAAAAGAGAATCGGAGTTTGTTTTGAGGGACGTTGTTTTACGTTCCATTGTTCTTGGCGAAATGGTAGCCAGGGTGGAGACTTTTAGCCACCGCAGTTAAAATGTTTTGGGTGTTCAGTTTTAAGTCGCTGCTTTTCATCAATTTTCAGAGAGGAGGTGGGGGGGTGGACACTTTCGCCGTTAACACTGGTCAACAACAACAAAACAACGTGTTTTTCTGGCCTGGACTTTTGCAGCTGTTCTAGACTTTCAGGGTGCCGATTCCAAATCTGATCTCAGATTTGCTCTATCACATCTCATTTTTAAATCCTTTATATTAAGTTCGCTTGCTTGCTTAGGACCGTGCAAATCTTTCGGTCGTTTTTTAACCCACTTCCCGTGATCCAATCGAGCTGACATTTTGCACACAGACTCGTTGTGCGTGGCAATGCATTTTCGTGAAAAAATTTTTCCAAAATTTTACACTGTTTAGGGAAAATTTTAAATATTTAATTACCAATTGTTTAATGATTGGCAGACAATCATCTGACCCATAGGTGGCAGCCATCTCAAGCCAGAGGACTCTAGCCGCCATGCATATAAAGGATTTATAGTGAAAAACTTTGTTTTTACGGGTTAATTTTTTATGCTATCGGCATACCCCATTTTCATTGATTTTACCCGAAATTAACTCTGTCACTTATGATTGCAAGTTGTTGCGAGTCAGTGACTGCTTTAGTGTTAAAATATGGTGCTGTATTTTTAGGATAGTGTGTTTATATCATTTTATGTAGATATCCACATTTATTTAATATTTTTCTTCTGCAGTTTTTATTGAAAATGCAATCTTTGATATCTCAAAAACATTTTGATTGCATTTTGATTGTAAAGTGAACGTTCATTGTTTCTGTTCGTTGCGTGTACGCTCAAAATTAAAGCGCTTAAAATCGCAAGCAATTCCGTGCTTTTTTGTATTCAACGTAAGGAAATACACTCGGAAAGGTTGTGAGTTTGCAAAACCCGTCGCGGGTACCAACTCAGCCCCTTCACCCATTGTGAACATCATCGCCACTGTCGGAGGTCAATCGTGGTTCCGTCCTAATAGCTTCAATAAGTATAACCCGTAAAAACAAAGTTTTTCACTATAAATCCTTTATATGTGTGGCGGCTAGAGTCCTCTCGTCCTCTGGCTTGAGATGGCTGCCACCTATGGGTCAGATGTTTGTCTGCAGTATTAAACAATTGGTAATTAAATATTTAATTTGTTTTCCCTAAAGTGTAAAATTTTGGAAAAAAATTTTCACGAACATTAATTGTCATGCACAACGAGTCTGTGTGCAACATGTCAGCTCGATTGGATCACGGGAAGTGGGTTAAAAAACGACCGAAAGGTTTGCACGGTCGTAAGCGCGCAAGCAAGCGAACTTAATATAAAGGATTTAAAAAGCCGAAGAGTCTTCGCCAACATTGTCAACGCGCGCCCGCAATCTTCTCAGGTGCAGGTCTCCAGAGGCCGGAGGCAGCACGTTTTCCTGTGGTGTTGTTGCAAAGTCTCAGAAGTGTTCACTTGTTTTTGAAGCACTCCCCCACCTGTATTCACAACAGCATAAGAGAGACGGGGGAGGATGACTGTGCGTGTACATGCACGCTATTGAGTGGCAAACTTTCACGCGACTGGCAACAAACCAGGACTTGCCAAGTCACGTTTCTGCGAAGACTTGGAGATATCCCACAGGAGCCGACCTCCATAAGAGGATGATCTTGGGGGGGGGGACCAGTACGGGTGGCAAACTCGCTTCGTAAAGAATTACAAATGATAACCGTGGCAATCTACTGATATCAATTTAATGAAATGAAATGCATCAATGCAGGGATATTACATCAAAGCAAGGACAGGTGGCAACCTCGCGTCTTAAAATAAAAATACTGTAAAAATCACACTCGTTTTGAAAATATAGTGGCGTCACTTAAATGAAATTCGATATGACGTCAGCGCGGGGGAGTCGTGACATCGGTTCACGGTGACCTTGGCGTCTTTGTTCGTTTTGCTCACTAGACGGGATTCGAAGCCGTGTCCTTCACGTGTCAAGGGTGACCCACCCTTCCTGTCCTGTCCCCTCGGCAATGCTGCCTCCACAGGGACAACCAACCCCTCTATCCCTAATGAACATCTGTTGCATCACCCAATTCCCTGACCCCCACCCCTGCCCCCAGCTTGTGCCCGATGTAGTACAGGGACTACCTCTACTTACAAATATTCGACTCGGGAACTTTCAGAGATACGTGCAAACCTGTCCGTATGTCCCGTTACCGCAGTTCAACGATGCGATTGCCCATCACAAGTTGATTTGTGCAGAGATGAAGAGAACAACTGTGCAGACATCTCTTAGTAGGTATTTCAAGAGAATAGAGAGGAAACAAGTGCCAAAGGGAGTTAGCGTCTACATCTGCAGAACGTGAAGAACCAGTGGCATCTACATCTGCAGAACGTGAAGAACCAGTGGCATCTACATCTGCAGAACGTGAAGAACCAGTGGCATCTACATCTGCAGAACGTGAAGAACCAGTGGCATCTACATCTGCAGAACCAGTGGCATCTACATCTGTAGAACGTGAAGAACCAGTGGCATCTACATCTGTAGAACGTGAAGAACCAGTGGCATCTACATCTGCAGAACGTGAAGAACCAGTGGCATCTACATCTGCAGAACGTGAAGAACCAGTGGCATCTACATCTGCAGAATGTGAAGAACCAGTGGCATCTACATCTGCAGAACGTGAAGAACCAGTGGCATCTACATCTGCAGAACGTGAAGAACCAGTGGCATCTACATCTGCAGAACGTGAAGAACCAGTGGCATCTACATCTGCAGAACGTGAAGAACCAGTGGCATCTACATCTGCAGAACGTGAAGAACCAGTGGCATCTACATCTGCAGAACGTGAAGAACCAGTGGCATCTACATCTGCAGAACGTGAAGAACCAGTGGCATCTACATCTGCAGAACGTGAAGAACCAGTGGCATCTACATCTGCAGAACGTGAAGAACCAGTGGCATCTACATCTGCAGAACGTGAAGAACCAGTGGCATCTACATCTGCAGAACGTGAAGAACCAGTGGCATCTACATCTGCAGAACGTGAAGAACCAGTGGCATCTACATCTGCAGAACGTGAAGAACCAGTAGCATCTACATCTGTAGAACGTGAAGAAACAGTGGCTTCTATATCTGCAGAACATGAAGAAATAGTGGCTTCTACATCTGCAGAACGTGGAGAATCGGTGGCATCTGCAGAACGTGAAGAACCAGTGGCATTTACATCTGCAGAATGTGAAGAACCAGTGGCATCTACATCTACAGAACGTGAATAACCAGTGGCATCTATATCTGCAGAACATGAAGAAATAGTGGCTTCTACATCTGCAGAACGTGAAGAATCGGTGGCATCTGCAGAACGTGAAGAACCAGTGGCATTTACATCTGCAGAACGTGAAGAACCAGTGGCATCTACATCTACAGAACGTGAATAACCAGTGGCATCTATATCTGCAGAACGTGAAGAACCAGTGGGATCTACATCTGCAGAACGTGAAGAACCAGTGGCATCTACAGCTCTCTCCCTCCCTGCCCTTTTGTCTCTCCCCCTTTCTGCCCCCCTCTCCCTCTCTGCCCCCCCATCTCTCTCTCTCTCTGCCCCCCCATCTCTCCCCCTCTCTGCCCCCCCGTCTCTCTCCCTCCCTGCCCCCCTCTCCCTCTCTGCCCCCCCATCTCTCTCTCTCTCTGCCCCCCCATCTCCCTCCCTCCCTGGGCCCCCGTCTCTCTCCCTCCCTGCCTCCCCGTCTCTCTCCCTCCTTCCCAACTGAATCGCCCTAACCTCTCGCTTATAAATCGACGAAGGCTCGGCGCCCTCTGATGTCTCTCTCTCTCTTCCTGTCTTCCCCTTGCCTCCCCTTCTCTTTGCCGATCTCTCGCGACGTCTCTGCCCCTCCCCTCATCTCGCCCCGTCTCTCTCGCTCCGTCCGAACCGGACCCCCCTAGCCTCTGCCTCAAGAACCGTTGAATGAAATTCCTCTGATGGTTGTCTCTCTCTCTCTCTTGCCGCGCTCCCCACGCCGCCTCGTCTCTGCGTCTCTCGCTCGCCGCGTCTCTGGCCCTCGACTGTTGCTGCGCCGTCTCTCTCTCCCCTCTTCCCCTCCCGCTTCCCGACTCCGCCCCGGTTCCGTGCCCCTCAGGCCGAGCTCCTGCCCCTCGCTGACCTTCATCTGCCCCCCCCCTTCGCTGCCCTCCCTCAGACCTCCCGCGGCCCATCCCTTGGCCCCCTCTCGCCTCGCTCCCGCACTTCTTCATGGAAGCTCTTCGTGGGACGCGTCTCTTCCGGGCGCCGTTCGGCCTCCTGCACGCACCTCCTGCACGCACCTCCTGCACGCACCTCCTGCACGCACCTTCTGCACCGCCACTGCCAAAGACAAAGATCCCCCGTATAGCCTCTAACAGACTGTCGGGGGCAAGTGCTGTTAGCGAGTAGCAGCACTTATCAAGGCCGGCACTGTGGCACACGGGGGGGGGGGGGGGTGGGTGACCAGAACCAGGCCCGGCCCCCTTTGTCTCCCTAGTGGTGATGTTTACACATCGCACAAGGGACAACTTTTAGGCCGAGTTGACCTCGGGGAGGCCCACGACCGGTTCAGATAATCATCAACTGTTTTTGGCCGTGAGCAGGAATCCAACTCGGGTCCCTGCAAAGTTCGATTGAGTTTGCAAACGAAAACTAAAATGTGTGGCACTAACGAGCAATCAGTGATGACAATTCCTGCTGAACGCGCAGAAGACTTGGCCCAGATTCCAAGAACACAGGATGAGATGTTACTATCCTTTGTGCAAGCACTTCCAAGAGTTCATGAACAGTGAGCCTGGTGAAATTTGGGGAGCGCATCGTCAGTAGTGAACCTTTGGTTCCTAGGGTGTTTCGGCCTTTCATACTATACACCCTCCCCAAAGGCGGCCAGCGACAGGGTGATCAATCCTGCGCTTGCGTCCCATTCCCAATTAGTCATAGGAGTTGCCTTGTTGTTGATAGCCAACATCCCATGGGACTATGCATGGCAGGGGCGTCCTCCTCCCTGAGTCAAGCATTGTTGACTGCATACCTCCTGGCCCTCTCATTTCGGGGCCCAGCTGGGGTCTTTCCTCTTCATCCAGAGCCACTGACTGCTGCCTTCTGCCGCCTCCGATACAGCTCTGATTGCCGAACGCTGGCTCTGGCCCTTAATTCCCAGGTCTCTAAGCAGTCTGGTTGTAGATGTTGCCACAAAACCTCTGCAGCCCACCTCCACTGGTCGGACTTCTGTGTTCCAGCCATGATGCCGTGCTTCGGCAGCTAGATCGGCATAGCGCAGATGTTTTCGCTCATAAGCCTCATCTACTGAGTCCTCCTAGGGTACTGTGAGCTCAATGATGAAGACCTTCTTGAGTGAACGGGACCAGAGCACCATGTCAGGACTTAGGGTGGTGGTTGCGATCTCCGGAGGAAACACAAGTTGCCGGCCAATGTCAGCTAGCATTTTCCAGTCGCGGGCCAAGCGCAGCTGGTCTCGCTCTAATGGTGTAGAGCCGCTCTTCGGTGGTTTAGGTCGTCCGTAAGGGGTGTGATGCTGCTGGGGGTGGTAGGGAGTTGGTGGCAGCTCGCTTGTCCTCCACAGCGGACGCAAGGTTTTTAAGGACTTGGTTGTGACGCCAAGTGTAGCGTCCTTGGGTGAGGCTTGTTTTACACCCTGTGAGAATGTGCCTGAGGTTGGCTGGCATGGAACAGAGGACACAGTCCGGATCTTCACCATACCATTGGTGAAGATTAACTGGTGTTGGAAGGATGTCATATGTTGCTCTGATGGAAAAGCTCAACCGCCTCGCTTCCATGGCCCACAGCTCCTTCCAGCTGATCTTCC